GCAAACCCTACACCAAAAATAGTGCCGACAGTGCCTCACAGTAGAGGGAGGGGGGAGGTGCTCAAGACCATTTCTTCATTTATTAAATTATGAGTAAGTAAAAAACAAAATTCTTTTTTTTTTCGTCGTCGATTTTTAACAGTTCATTGACATTTTTCATATGTAGACACATTAATTGAATTAATGAGCTCGAGGACGATGTGCAGTTGAAAGATGTTGCGAAGTTCATTGCTATTTTGACCGGCCTGCAGACCGAGCTTACGAGAGCCATTCCGAAAGGATACCAGCTGCCCGCTTCTTTACCCACCGCTGATGTTGATCAAGGGTTAATGGAGCATCAATCACCTCCCCTTGGAGCCGTGGGACAAGAGACAGGATGAGACCTGAACCTTAACAATGAGGGGTACGTTCATTGAAGGGATTGACCGAAGGCCTGATTTGTCGGTCACCAGTGGCAAACCTCAGTCCCTCTAGTGTTCGTAGGCTCAGTTGTGGCGGCCTTGCAGACAGAGGTTCATGGTTTTGTTGGATGGCCTGACAGGGGTGTTGTGCGAGCTGGGAGCCCTTCGGGAGTTGACCGACCTGTCCAAATTCCACCACAAGGTTGGCTGATTGGAATAACTTGGAATAGAAGAGGCAATGGTCATCCAAAGGTTGACTTAGAAAAGATACATCCCACCTGAGGCCTTGGAAGACCCGCTCATAAAGTTATTTGGAAATGAAAAGACATTTGAATAAATTTAAAAAGATGTTTGGTATGTTACTTATCCTTGTGTGACGCTTTATTTTTTGAGTCCACCCTATAAATAGGGTGTTAGACTTGTTTCTTACTTTACACATTTCGATTTACGCATTAGAGCTTTTAGCTTTTCTTTTTTTATAGTCTCACCCTTATTTGGAAATGAAAAGACATTTGAATAAATTTAACAACATGTTTAATATGTTACTCATCCTTGTGTGACGCTTTATTTTTTGAGTCCACCCTATAAATAGGGTGTTAGACTTGTTCCTTACTTTACACATTTCGATTTACGCATTAGAGCTTTTAGCTTTTCTTTTTTTATAGTCTCACCCTTTCGACAGCCGCTGATCTTCCTTAATGGCACCAAAATACTCTTCAACCCCTTTCAACTCCGTGAAGGGGGCTAACCTTTCGTTCTTAACGAAGAACGAACTAAAGGAGTTTCAGATGAGGTATGTTATGCAAGACAGCGTCACCCTTCGGAAGTTGGTGATGCCGGCGCAGGCGAAAAACCTTCTGGGTAAGGATATGGTTTTTTACCAAAAAAATTCAAGTACTGACTCCAGTTTCCTCTGTGCACTTAGCTCTGTATTGTCTTTAACATGATAGAGTTATTTCGGCGAAAATGATGTTGAACCCCATAGCTGTGATAATGTTGGTTTTTTATTTTTTATTTATTTATTTTTTCCTGTTGGTGAGAGCACATCTTGTGAAATATAGGCATTTTTAGATATATATTTTTTCTCATTTAAAGTTGAAAGGGAGAGCTTTGCCATGTTGAGCCATCAGCCTTGATCTTAAAGAGCTCAGGGATATCACCAGTTCACCTTTACGAGGCAAGTTTATGCATGTTATTTTATTTCTTTTTCCTTCGTGGGTTCTTTCTTTTTCTCAAGGTCCTCACCGCTCCGATCCATGGGCATGCCTCATAAAACAAGTTTGGATTCAACATCCTAAATGTGTGGTGAACATGAGACATTCTACTAACAAAATGAAAGTGAGACCAACGAGAAGAAATACACATTAGAGACACTCCTAATAGAAAAAGCACGTTAAGGAGTTCATGCAACAACAAATCTGAAACCGAAAATGTTCTTTCCGTAGTCTTCCTAGAGAGTTTAGCCAACAGGTGAGTATTCAAAAACGGATGATCAGCTCCCAACAGTAGAAACAAGCCAATCGACCATACCTGCGCATCACTCGGTCAATTCCGAGCGGCTGACATCTCATCCAGAAAAAAAAGAGATTTACTTCACAACTTATCTTGAGCTAAAACACAAATTTCTATAACGTTGCCCAAGGTTCAACTGACACTTGTGAAACTCAGTTTTGAGTGAGCAAACAGGACGTTAACAACAAAAGATTATCCTTCAGGGCGAGCAAAAAAAATCCCCTTCGACACGAGCAAATAGAAGAACAAAAGATTCTCATTAGGGGTGAGCAAACACAAACTCCTCTTTGGGGAAAGAAAAAAAAAACTCCCTTTTGGGGTGAGGAAAAAAAAGGAATCTCTCATATGAGAGCAAATGAAAGATTCCCCTCCGAGGGCGAATAAGAAGAAAAAAACTCTGGAATGAGCGAGCAACGAATGATCGGACCTAACAAATGGATGAACGAAGAATAAGACTCAAGTTGGATGATATCACGATCGACAATTTTCGCAAGAGCAGAATCGGGAGTCAACATAGACAAGCACAACAACATAAGCGAGTACCTTTACATAACATCGACCAAAAAGTCGATTCAGATAAAAATGCTTCTAAGTCAATGAGATAACGTAAAAATTACTAAAGCATCGTGCAGAAAACGCCTTAAGAGTGAGTATCCTCATTGATTCATGCAATTATACTTTTTGCTTTAAAATTTTTTTTATTCTTATTGCATCTCTCACTATAAAGTCAAAAATGATATGCAATCTTGAGGCTATCTAACATTCTATATAAAAAGAAAGATGACAAAAATGTGTCAAAAATTGTCTATAACTTAAAAAATGCACCATAAAGACCCGCAACTCACTTGTTAAAGCACGTACTATGAAAAACACCATAAAGATCCATAACTCCCTTATTAAAATGGGAAATTAGTAAAAATATAATAATGACTTTTAACTCCCTCATTAAAGTAGGGAAAAACATGAAATTTTAGACTTGATCATTCTTTCTCCTATAAATAGGAACTCCATAGCATCTAAAATGAGAGATATTATATCTTGACTTTTCTTAAGTAGGGAGAAACTTATGAGTTTCTGGATGTAACTACAATTATATATATATATATATAAAATAAAGTCAAAGGGCTTAGGATATCCTAATTTGCACCTACGAGTGTCATTTTATTTTTTTTCATTCCCTTTCTTTTTCTATCACAAAATTTCTATGGCTCGGATGCTTGAGCATCACTACAAAATTTCTATGGCTCGGATCATTCCCTTTCTTTTTCTATCACAAAATTTCTATGGCTCGGATGCTTGAGCATCACTCACAGGTTAAGGGTCCGTATGTACCATTTGATTCACACGTTTCGTCAGCTTATCCAAAATTATGTTTGAGATTTTATACTAAACTCAAACTACAGATAGATCCCGCAGGCGGCGCGCGGGGTGCTTTCAAGGATAAAACACAAGCTGCCCAAAAGACTCTAAAACGAATTTGGGTTCAACAATATTGCAGCTTGCCAAAACAGGCCCGGCCGCCCACGGGGACGATAAATTTCGCTCGGAGTGCGGAGGGGTGGTCACTTCCGGTTTCAGCCCATCGGCCAGTGCAGCTAAAGGGATAACCGGTGATGAAGCCATATAGGGTTTCACAGAGGTGGTCTCTTTTCTCCCACCATCTCTTCAAAGGCCACAGGGTTCAGTCCCATTATTTGCGCATCGACAATCTAGCCAGGAAACTCCATTCGGCTCGGTCCTCCATAGGTGGCGGTGGCAATGGCAATGGCGAAGGTTATTCCGTCTGCTTTGTTACATAATTCTCTGCATTTGATCTCCGGAATATGTCCTCTTTTAATGTTCTTTATCCGGTTTTCTTTTCCTGCTTAGTCTTTTCTAGGTCGAAAGTTTTTTGATTTAGGGTATACGATAGATTACTTGAATCTGGAATTAGGGCGTCGTTTTTGGTAATTGTTTAATCGGAAATTTCTACTGATTATCTTAACTGGGGACAAATCACTGTGCTATGTTGTGCTACCACTGGTTGTACTGATTGCAATGTCGTTATAATAGCGAGCCTTGAATGACGATTTCTGTTGTGATTTCAGGGAACTTTTTTCTGGTGCCGGGTGCTACGGTGGCAACTCTTCTTATGCTTGGTTTTCTTCATGCTCGCCGCCTCTACGAAGACAAGAAGGCATGCTAAGTTCTTTAACATTGTGGAATGTGGAGTAGTGTACTTTTTCATAACGATAACTCTCTGTTCTATAACTACCGTGCTTTAAATTAATACACTTTTACAAAGGTTTTGGTGCTTGCTTGAAGTTTTTTTCGTTAGCTGTAAAACTGTTCGTTTTGTCTTCTTTTACATGACCTTGTGCGAATTTAAACATGAAGGGACTAAATGACTGGCTAGTTATTTACTCTACCAAAAACCCTCCTACAGTACTCTTCTACCTAGTTTTCTACCCACAATTTGTTCATCCATTGTGGGGTCTCTCTCTCCCCACAATCCTCACCTGAACCCATTTAATGCTGATAAAGGAAAACATAGGATGATTGAAGAGGAAGGATGGAATGCCCTAACTTGATAGATATTGAGGGGCGAAGAAGACAACTCACGTCATGAGACATCTATCTACCTTTTGGTACTAATCTTCATTACATTCACAAATAACGGAAAAAAGTTAATGGGGAAAATGGGCTTGATTAAAGAGGCTTCGAGGCTCATTATTTTACTTTAATAGTTTCATAAAAATAACCCTAGTTTCTTTCACATTAATAAACTAAGGGGTATAATTGAATTATACACCTTGCATCATTTTTAGCATAAAAAATAGTGGAAGTTATATAGAACAATTAAGTTGTTGTAATTTAATAACTTATACAACAAAACATAACATACAATGAATTAAACTTTTATCATCTTAATTGTCATAATGTCATGATATTTTGACCATTTTATGCATTATTACTTTTTTCGAGTCAATGAAGAGCTCTTTTGCTGAATATATTGGTGGCTTTGGAGTTGGAAGTGGTTTCTTTGTGATGTGAAACTCTTTGGAATTTTCTTTCATGAAATTCTTTTTGTTATGAGCTTTTAATTCGTCGCGACTCGGCTTAAGAGTTTGTATTTTCATGATGGGAATGGACGATCAAAAGTTAGTGTTATGTCAGTCTAACAATTAGAATAATAATAATAATAAAAAAAAATGTTTCAATCACTAAAGAACCACTAACCACAAAATGTCATAAACATCATGGAAACCAAAAAGCAAAGACAATATGGCTACAACAATTATTTCAATAAAAAAAAATTAACGTAAGATAAAATGGTTTAAAGATATATGCTTTTATTTGCTTATTTTTTCTATAAACATATTTTCTTATGCCAGTCATTTTAATATAACAAATTTTTTTGGGATAAATATCTAAATAATAGATTACTGTTTACAACAATTTTGTGAATAATTATAGCTCTACTGATAATTATGACACACCAAGAGGGGGTGTATTAAAAATATTTAAGATTTAATTTTATGATTTTTATCTCTCTCTCTCACACACACAGATATATATATATATATAACAATGTATAAACATGGAAACAAAGCATAAATACACACAAGACAAGCACACAGATAGATAGATACACACACACGTGTATGTGTGTGGCCATAGATGTCACATGAGTTTCAATACTCATATTATATTTAGCGCAATATATTTATGTTCAACTGTGAATAAAGAAGACGCGACTCCTGCGTCTTCTTCCACGAGTCGCGACACCATCATCCGCGTCGCCTAGCGATTCGTTTCCACTCGCCTTCCGCCAGCGTTGTCGACCGCTCGCCAGAGTTCGCGGCTGTCTGTGTCTGCGCCTGTCTGTGCCGATCGACAGCTTGCTGAAGAAATAGCTTCATAACTCCAGTGATAACCCTGTCTCTGCCCCTCTTTCGAATATGTTTCCGCAACGATACTACAACAATTTTGCTCTTGGAATTGAAACCGTATTTCTCAAAAAAGCAAAAAAAGATTCTCATAAAACGATAAACCTGCAATCTTTCTCACTGAGGCAGAGATTTCCACCCTAGCTGTGCCCTGTTTACTGTTCTTAGTAGATAAGTTTCTTTATGAAAATCCTAAACTTGAGCTAATTCGAAAGGACTTTGAGCAAATGAAGCTGAAAGGGGTTGGAAGATCGGTAAATTGGATGGTCGTCACATTCTTATTCAATTATCAAATGATGAAGACTACACCCATTTGCTTGCGAGAAGAGTTCTTCTAATAGAAAACCAGGTGATGAAAGTTTTAAAATGGACGGTGGATTTTGACCCTCGTACTGAACCTCCTACTATTCCTGTTTGTCTGCGCTTTCCAGGTTTGAAGATTCACCTTTTTGATCAAGAGTTTCTCTTCGCTTTAGTGATGGTATACGGTGAACCCCTCAAAGCTGACATGCCTATAGTGAATCTGACTCGGTTTTCAAAAGCCAGAATTTTGATTGAAAGGGATATTACTTTATCTTTTCCGGGAGAAATATGGATTGACACACAACATCAGAGATTTTGACAGCAAACAGAACTTGAAGAGACATCACTTTATTGTACCCACTGCCGTATGTTTGGACATTCTCCTTCTCAATGTTATCAGTTGCATCCGAATTTAAAACCTTCAAGTAAAAACGCTTCTGGATCTGCCCCACCTCATAACTGTCCCTCCTCCGCTCCTGAGTGCATTCCACAAACTATTGAAATACCGGTTGACACGATGCCACCTCCCCCTCCTACTACTGGAGACAATATTGTCTCAGTTCTTCCGACTGATATATTGGCAGATGGTTTACTTGGGTCCGTGTTGACCTCACTTTTGGCGGAGGTGTAGTTTTTCTCCTCTTTAATAGCCTAGGGTATAGCCGTAGGACTTCCCTGTCAACTACTCCTAGAAAACTAGCAAAAGAGCCCTCCACGTTAGAAATTCTGAGCTTTTCTTCACTCAAATTGACGCTCCGCATGGTAACTTTGACCGCTATTACTTAGTAGGTAAGACTACTGTGGAGGAACTTAAGGAGAATCCTATAGGGCTGTTGGCCTTAGGATTGACTGTACGCGTTAATACTCTTCGTCGCCTTATTTGATTAAGCTCGAGCTGTATTTTTGACGTGATTCGAATCGCGAAGCGTTTTGGTCCCAATCGTTGACGGGGTTGCCTAAACGACTCCGGATGACAAAACGGACTAAGCCGACGCGTCCAGAACGTCGATTTTGCCTAAAGGGGACGTTCGTTTCACCGCGACGACACGTCTGGGGAAAAAATATACATTTAAGTGTTAATTATAATAATAAACAATATTTTATTATTATTATAGTTATAATTAATACCTTATATTAAATCCTAACATAATTTCATTATCTCCCCCTCCCCTCTACTGAGTCTCGACCTCGTGGACCTCTGCCATAGCTTCGGCTCGCTCGGTTCCACCTGGCCCGTTCTTTCGTGCCGTTGGAGCTCGTTCCCGCGCTCACCTCGCCCACGTCGGACGATCCCACGACCCATCCCTTATCGTATCTCATCCTCTGCGAGGATCTCATCCTCTGCCTCTCGCACGCCCATATGGGAGCGTCTACTCCTATAAGGGAAGGGAAAATTCTGTCATTTTCTTTTTTCATCGTTCTTCTCTAGCTTTTTTAGGCTTGGAGTGGTTTTACCCTTGCTGTTGAGGGAAGATTGAAAGTGGTGAAGTGCTCTTGAAATTATTATTTTTTTTGGCTTTTACTTCAAGGAGGTACCCCCTAACCCCCCCACCCGCCCTTTTTGTGCTTTACTCCTTTTCGGTTTTCCTTCTGTCGAATGCTTGAGCTTGGTGCTGTGGTTGGTATGGCATGCTAGCCTAGTGTTGCACCTATATTTTGAAATATTTGTCACCTCAGCATGTGAAAGATAGAAATGTGAGCATGTTTTAGGAGTTAGATTTGATTACTTGCTTAAAATTGTGAAAGTATAGCATGTTATTAGCTCCTCTCTTTTCTTTTTGTTCCAGGCAAATAAAAAATGTTAAAATGTGGTTTTGAGATAATTTTGGCTCCTCTCTCAAGCATGCTGGGATATGTATCTTGAAACTCCTCATTTGTTCTAATTTAGCATGAGATGTTGGAGAGTTTATTTGGCCCTTCATATATGTTGGGGGCTCAGTTTTGACATCTTATAACCTTCTTTTGCTTAAAATGCATGTTATCGAGAAGTTCACTTTGATTTGGGAAATGTTCTATAGTTTGCTTTAATAGTTTGGTTTGCGAGGGGGGGACATCTTTCATGCTTGGATGTTTGAGGGAAGTTGATTCATGCTTAGAACAATTTGTGGCCTAAAATACTTTCTATATTATTGTTATAGTTTAAAAACCTATCTTGGCTCCATATACTGATGTTTTGAAGGAATGAGGACTTTTCTTTAGCCTTTGGATGGCCCGGTTTTGCCTTGTAATGACTCGATTTTATTCTGTTTTGATGAATTAGCTTGGGGATTTACATGACCGCGGTTTTGAATGCCTGCAGAGCTATGTCCTATTTTGATGTTGGGCTTAGTTTTGGCCCCTGCTGGGCTCAGTTTCACCTTGCTCTAATGGTTTGGTTTTGGGTCTCGTTTTGGGTCTCACGGTTGGCTTTGTGCTGGATTGCGGTTTTAGCCTTTTGATTGTGAGGGGTTCTGCTTCGCCTTATCTCTATTTTGTTTTGAGGGCTTAATTTGGAAAATTATGGGGCTGCAACTTGATACTTACCTGGACCCCATTTTAGTGTGATATGTGACTCGGTTTGGGGCTCGATATTGGTCCTCTATTGTTGTTGTCTTTGCTCGCAATGTATGCTGGAGGGGATATTTGTTTCGGGGCTTGTTTTGGGGATTCAGTTTCAATGCTTAGTTGCTCCCTACCCTTGAATAGCCTTGGTTTACCTTGCTGTGGAGGTTGCGGTCTCTAGTCTTGGGAGTTTGTTTGGTTGTTTGTGTTGGGCGATGACCCTTGTCTTAGGACCTAACTTGTGCTTTGTGCTGTCATTATTCAAAAGGCTTGTTGGAGAGGTTGTTTTGCGTCTTCCTTGCTCTTGTTGAGGGCCTGTCGTTGAGGGCCTGTCTTGTGCCCTGGTCTGTTTATGCCTTGTTCTGGCCCTTACCTGAGAGCTCGTTGAGAGCCTGTCTTTGTG